ACCATCCAGATCTTATTCAGTCAAGAAGTGTATATTCTCCACTTTTTGCTTTTGATTCTTTTAACAACCAAGATATGCATGGAAGTCCAAAAAGGAAAACTTCATAAGAAGCTTGTTTTCGCATTCTTGCAAATATCCATGTTCATATATTTGCCGTAAATTTCCCCATGTTGTCTGGCATATTTTCGTATCTAGTGAAAGCGTCACTTCCTGTTTTGCGAAGGCAAATATTTCCATAGTGAAGGCGAATTAATAGAAACGAGCTTCCGGTCAGACTAATTGATGATGGAAGCTTGTCGAATACAAATCATGTACTCTGGGAAGAGACTAAGAATAGTGTTATTCAAATGAAAGTTATTGTTTTATATCGGGCTAACTGATTTTGCTACACGTCAAACCCTTATCAGATTTATTTAATGGCTAAACCTGAGCATTAAAAATATATATATATCTGAGTCTATAAGCATTTAACTAGATTGGAGTTGGGTAAATATTGTTCAATTATATTCGATTCTATAAGCCCTGAGTTGATTTGAAATAAACTCCGTCCTGGGTATGACGATAAAACCTATCCGGCAGAAAGGCCTCTGATCGGGACGTTTTGAGGAGTGTGGAACCAGCACTTTATAGCTATTATTCCCAGGCCCACACTTGTCCCGGGATGGTAGCAACTGTTAGGGTCCCAGCTATGGGCAAATAGTTAACTCTGTTTTTGGTGTCAAAACACAACGTGGGCACAAAAATCTTTTATAGTAAAATATCAACAATACATTCTCATAGAAGAAAATACCTGCAAAATATATTTTTGTAAAAAACAATAAATAAATAAATAAAAACTCTCATTAACACATTATTAATAAATCCCAAGAAAATTAAATTAAACAAAACCCTATAAAAGATCATGTACATGCTATATATATATATATATATATATATATATATATATATATATATATATAAAAGAAAAACAGACCACTTTAAGGCTCCATTGTAATGGGTTATTTCACCAGAGACTTTTAACCTTCCCTGGATCTTCAGACATCACTTTCAAAAGGTGAAACGAAAAATGATATTAAAATTTACACTTTTGACGAGCAGTATTACGCTTATATAAGTAAACATAGAAGGTAGCGAGGAATAGTGTGAGAGACACAGTCGAGTTTAGAGAGGGAAGGGAGAATTTTAAAATTTATTTTTATATTTCTTTATAATAATATTGAGGAAGGAGAGGGTAAGGATCAGACATTGACCTATTTAATTGGTCAACTCAGCGGAAATGATAATTGGAAGGGGAGGAGAAAAAGGGAAAAGTTGAGTTGACCCTTAGTCGTCTGTTTTTTTTTTTTTTTAAATATTATGCTTTATTTTCCATAATTTTCTTTCTATTTTTTTTGTTTGATTTTCCTTTTTCTTGCACACATTTCTGGTTCCATATTTTTTATGGCACTATCACCTTGCATTTACATAAGTTCTTTAATTAGTATCAGATTTATTATTATTAGTAGTAGTAATAATAATAGTACTACTGGTAGTATTACTAGCAATATTGATGGAACTAGTTGCCACTGTTGTTTCTACTAACAGTAGTACTATTTTTATTATTATTATTACTACTACCAATAATAATAAATCTGATACTAATTAAAGAACTTATGTAAATGCAAGGTGCTAGTGCCATAAAAAATATGGAACCAGAAATGTGTGCAAGAAAAAGGAAAATCAAACAAAAAAAAATAGAAAGAAAGTTATGGAAAATAAAGCATAATATTTAAAAAAAAATCCACATTACAACCAAAAAACGTTTGCAGCACCTCTCTTCTCTTCTTTTTAATATACATACTTTTCTCTCGTTGGAACCACTATAACCTCATTCTTTTATATATATATATATATATATATATATATATATATATATATATATATATATATATATATATATATATATATAGACATATATATGGATAAAAAAGAAGACACTTCGAAAATGTATTTCCTCGTCATTGCCAACGCGTTTCGTCAATCCGACATGATCAAGGCAAGTTTAAAAGAGAAATGTTTTTTCGTTACATTATATAAATGGAACACTCCTTCTTCGATGTTGGTAACTTTATTTTTCGTTTTTTACTAAGAGTTGGTCTCGGTTTTCCATGTCGACATATTGTTAAATTTCTCAGAATAGTTCTGATAAGACAATTTGGATAAAAATTTTTTTAGCGAAATTTTCTTATCACCAGGATTATTCTGAGAAATTTAACTATATATATATATATATATATATATATATATATATATATATATATATATATATATATATATATATATATATATATATATATATATATATGTATATATATGAAGAAATATAGTCTTAAGGTGTGCTATATTTATGAGATAAAGTGATCAATATCAGAGATAGAGCAGGCGTAAATATAAAAGCGAACATAGAATTCAACACTTAGACTGTCGCCTCTAAGTGTTGACTTCTGTGTGCCTCTTATAATATGTAAATTCAAGAGGCCGGTTAATGGAAGTTAAGTAATAAAAAATCAACACAATAATGACAGATTCTGTCTATATTTCTGAGATGAGGTATTATTTACATTATTTACATTATTCGGACTATTAGTCTGTATAATGAAAATAATTACAATATAATACTGATTATATATAATTCTATATTTTACATACTAGTTTTAAAGCCGCCCTATGTGGCGGCATTTAAGCTAGCTCTCCAGAGAGCTCTTGATTGGGCCTTCATCACTATAGGTAGGGAGTAGTTGAGGCAACAATAATCTATAGAACTCAAAATTGATCGCTGCATTTAATTATTTCATTAATATTTAAGCTTATTGTTTGACAGTTTAAAGATAATTCATCTGCCGCCAGTTAATCTAACGACAAAAGGGTAGATTGTTCTAGTTCCACGTGTCATGTCTCTTTCTGAAGTCTCAGTTATTTCCTTTAACTCAACTTTCCAAGTTTTTTGGTTCACCACTGCTGTGGCTTGGTATTGAACTCACAACTCTTTGGGTCTAATCACTGGATCTAACCAACGTCTTTATCTACTGGGTCATGTGTCCTTGAGGAGACAGTCTACCCCGGTGGAAGAAGTAAAGGGTTCGGTTTGAAATTCCAATCACCTGAAGAAAGCCGGATCGTACAACGGTCGAAACGTTGAGAAGATGGCAATGAAGATGAGGATAAATGCAAGTAATCATAATACCTCATCTCAGAGATATAGACAGATAAACATTAATATTTCTTAATTTTAATCGTTAATGCTGTTTGTAAGTTATTAGACTACACAATTATGTCGGTGTTGGAGGACACTCAGTATAACTGAATATAATCTAATCAGACTTTATTTTAAGATTAATGCCGGTTGTGATTTCGAAAATACAAAATAAAAAAATAAATCAGTTAATCAAAATACATTTTCAAAATCACGAGTATAAAAATAAACAATGTAAACGTTGACTCAGTGACACCCGATGCGGACGTAGCAGTAAGCACATCACGTGACCCTTCCTAACCAATGGGAACATAAAGAAAATAATGTAGGATGTTGTCTTTCGTTTGGAGCATGTATAAGAATGCAACCAAAGTGGGACTCGCAAAAATCCCAAAACAGAAGTACTCACGGTGAATTCGGGTGCACATTTAGAGGCGCATGAGCAAGGTTAAGGTTTTTAACCAAATGGACAACTGCAGAAAAAGAAACCTTCTGAGATACTTTTTTTTTTTTTTTTTTATCTATATCTATAATTCTCAAAATCTGTGTGTGTTTGATCGGATGTTGTTTATGTGTTTCCACAGTTTTCATCCGATTTCAATGACATTTTTTTTGTTTCATAGGTAATTTTTCAGTAGCGGTTTTGAGTCCAAATCTGGTGGAAAAAAAAAATTACCACCTTGAAGGTGAAATATCGAAAAAACTGATTTTTTACACTTTGCGCAAAACTCAAAGGCATAAATTTAATGTCTGTAAAAAACAGAATACAATCAATTTAGAGTGTTGAAATCTAACGCAGAAGATTATTAGAATTATAATATATATATATATATATATATATATATATATATATATATATATATTATAAATAAAACTTATCGTATATTATTAATATGCCGGTCCATGGAACAGGTTCCTTCCTTGCAAAATTGAGAACGCAGAAACGGCCCTTTTCAGAGCCACCCTCCCATTCAAATTGTTACCTTCATTTTGGAATGTGTCTCAGTTGCACCCAATTGTTGTTACTAATACTGATATATATATATATATATATATATATATATATATATATATATATATATATATATATACTAGCAGTAGAGCTCGGCGTTGCCCGGGATGTAACAGTAAGAGATAGATCAAGTATCGACCATGATAAAGACTGAAAAATAAAATTGACTATTATTTAGATTATTGTTTAAGGTTGACGGACACGCATGTCTTAATTAGTTTTTTTTGTTTTTTTTACGAATTGGTCAAACCTAAACTCAAACAAAAACATTGTTTTCAATCGTTATGAGTCTACCGATTGAATAGAATTTTATTATAAACAATTGTCTTGTAAATAGAATTTTTAAACCATTCTGAATGTAAAAATAATGAAAAAAGTGTGCAAGACAATAAGAAACACTACCTGCCAAAAAAAAGTGAAGTTTTGTTGAAATCGGTTGAAAAATGTAGGAAACGCGATCCCATATATATACGAACACACACACACACAAACAACCTGGGTTTTATAATAAGTATAACCCGATATGAGTTGTGCCCCTTTCATTCTCGTGATGCCTCTTAATCGTGTTTTCAAATTGATTTCGCGCAAAAACAATTGTGTTTTTCTAATTTTTGGCGCTGTCAAAACCACCGCAAGGTAATTTTACGTAGTCCTGTGAAGTTTTGTTGCAATCGGTTCAAAAATGTAGGAAATCCGATCCAATATATAAACGTACACACACACACACACACACACACACACACACATACACACAACCTGCGTTTTATAATAAGTAAGATATATATAGAGAGATAGATAGATAGATAGATAGATAGATAGATAGATATCCAACTACCAGAAATTACTCCCATGGCTGTATTCAGCATCGCTCATCGGCTTCTTTCGGCTCCCTTCGATAGTTACTCTACCAAACAGGTATTAACGGTTCATGGAATTGTTTACACACAAAAAACCTAAATGTCTTATTTTGCTTAAGGGAAGGATTATTATTAATATTTTCCTTTATTTTAACGATTCGCTTCAATTACGTTTTTTTTTCTTCTTCCCCTTAATAGGAGTAGATAAATCCGCCTATATTCTTGTTCACACTCCTCCCCGATCTGTTGTACAGGAGTAGAGGTTTATCCATTTTTTCCTGTTTGGGATTTGGTTTCACGTTCCTTGTAAAGTTTACTTCAAGTCTATACTTTTAACGTCTCTGTGAAAACAATGAAATTTGATTTACTAATTATACTTCTTCTCCTCAATTAGATTAGATAGGTTCGCCTATCACCCAGTTCACACTCCTCCGCGGCTTCTAGAACGGAATTAGAGGCTTATCACTTGTTTCTTGTTTAGGATTGGCTCGCCGGTTCCTTCTAATGTTTAATTCAACTGTATATTTTTTAAATCTCCGTCAAAAGTGAAATTTTTATTTACTAATTATTTATAATTTTTCTCTTCAAATGGAATTGATAGGTTTGCCTATCGCCCAGTTCACACTCCTCCGCAGCTTGTTTCTTGTTTAGGATTGGCTTACCGTTGCTTCTAATGTCTAATTCAACTGTATATTTTTTAAATCTCCGTTAAAACTGTGATATTTTATTTACTAATTATTTATAATTTTTCTCTTCAAATGGAGTTGATAGGTTCGCCTATCACCCAGTTCACACTCCTCCGCAGCTTGTTTCTTGTTTAGGATTGGCTTGCCGTTCCTTCTAATGTCTAATTCAAATCTATATTTTTAAAATCTCCGTCAAAACTTAAATTTTATTTAATAATTATTCATAATTTTTCTCTTCTGAAGGAGTTGATAGGTTCGCCTATCGCCCATTTCACACTCCTCCCAATCTACTGCACAGGAGTAGAGGTTTATCACTTGTTTCCTGTATAGAACTGTTTTTCTTTTAAATTTTACTTCAACTCTATACTTTTAACGACTTCGTGAAAACATAGAAATCTTATCTACCAATTTGTCAATATTTTTATCTTCAATTGCAGTTCACCTATCGTCTAGTAAAAAATCCCTTCATGTTTATTTTTTAACAGAAGGAGGGAGATATTGCTTGTTTCCTGTTTAGAATTGTGTTTATGGTTACTTCTAATGTCTACTTCAACTATATTTTTAAAGTCTTCATTAAAACATTGAAATTTTATTCACTACTTATATTTTTTCTCTTCATTTGGAATAGATATGTTCACTTATTGTCTATTTCCCACTTCGACATGGTCTTTTGAACAGGAGTAGAGGTTTATCCCTTGTTTCCTTTTTAAATTTGGGCTTCTGGTTCCTTCTAATATCTACTTAAACTCTACAAGTCTCCATCAAAACTGAAATTTTATTTACTAATTATAATTTTTCTAAAATGGAGTTAATAGCGCCTTCTATCGCCCATTTCACACTCCTCCACGGTTTCTTAAACAGAAGTACAGGTTTATCCCTTGTTTCCTGTTTAGGATTGGATTTCTGGGTTAACTAATATCTTCCTCAACTCCACTTTTAACGTCTCTCCCGAAATAACTTGAAATTTTATTTACTAATTATAATTTTTCTCTTTAATTGGAGTAGTTACCTATCGCCCGGTTCCAACACCTCCCTGTTCTTTTGAACAGGAGTAAAGGTTCATTACTTAATTCCTGTTTAGGATTGGGTTTCCGGTTCCTTCTGATGTATCTTTAATTTTCTTTCACTCTCTGTAAACCTCTTGCGTCTTAGTGGCATTATCGCCTTGCTTGGGGTGAACTGATTGAAAAAAAAATCAATTATATTTTCATTTAACGAGGTGCAAAGAACGAATATCAGTCTTAAGCCAGTAAACAGTCAATAAAACACTCCAGCGTCGCCAATCTCTCTTCAGCAAAGAGAAGGTAACTGGTGAATGTCAAAACCTGTAAGTGACTGATCTCTTTGTCGGTAGCCAAATTGCCCTTCTTGACAGACTTTAAAAATATTCTTAATTAAAAGCAGTGCGCGATAAATATCAAACCTCGGCATCTGCGAGGACGTGTTGCCAATTCTGAGCTGAGTGTTCGGCTTATCAGGCATTGCTTATTCGAAGGTGATGGATGACTGTGGCTCTTATCAGTGACACGCGTCAAAGAGCGTAGGAACGTGGAAGCTTTCTACTATCGAGTACATTGGACGGTGTGTGCTTCCTCCAGTCGTTGCGCATAACATAGTAAAAACACTTTGATCGCGGTCTGTCGGTTATCGTGCTCAAAGTGTCCGGGCGAATTTATCTACAGACTAAAAGCTCTTAACGCCATAAAGAGTTAATCCAAGTATATAGGTAAACGATGGCTAGAGTTTGCTTTATTTCTTATGTCGCATATTTAGTCGAGCCGATAAAAATTGTGTGAGGTCTTAAGCAGTAATTGTGTCGTCAGAAAATTAAGATAAGACACGTAGGCGAAATATCAGACAATCTTTAACCATTCGACGGCTTCTATTGGCGATATGAACGTATTCGGAGACACATACAGTTGTAAACGTATCAAAGCTGTGAAAAAAAATTGCATGAATGAATATATATATATTTAAAATAATTTCACCGCAAGCATGGAGATAATGCTAGTAAGACACAAGATGTAATTTGGAATGAAATAGAATGAGAAGAGTGAGAAAAAAAATAAATGACACGAGTTCAGGATGATAGAAGATGGCGGCTAGCGTTGCATTTAAATTTTTGGAGATTGTAGGTTGCAGGGAAGTAAGAAATCGGGAGAGAGTTCGACAGGCGAGAAATTCGAGAAAGGAAACTAACACAATAGGTGCAGTTGCATCTTGCTATTTCAATAGTAAAATAAAGAGACCTAATTGCCAATCTAGCCGTAAGCTGAAATTCATGCAATCGAGGCACCAGAACAGTTGGCATGAAAGTATTTGGAGAATCGACAAATGGAAGCCACATCAGGTAAAGTCGAGATGCCAGGTCGGGGCTGAGTATATTACAGACCCTACTTTGGATTTTGTTAAGAATCTCGAGATATATAAAAGGAGCAGGATGTTATATATATATATATATACATATATATATATATATATATATTAAGAAATGGACAAAGTCCGAAAATTTATTTATTAAAGACATTTTTTATGTTTAAAGGTCCTTTTTTATAGATACAAGTATTTAAGTAAATGCTCTGTTTATAATAAACTGTATTAAATAACATTTACCGGCCTGAATGTCCGAGAAATTTTCATAGAAAATATTCGTCCTTTGACAGGATCCGAACCTGCATCCTATACGGAACAGTCATTTACGCTGACGTGCCTAACCTCTCGGCCACAAAGAAGCGTTCGTTAGGCAAGGTCATATATATATATATATATATATATATATATATATATATATATATATATATATATATATATATATATATATATATATATATATATATATATATATATATATATATATATATATATATATATATATATATATATATATATATATATATATATATATATATATATATATATATATATATATATATATATATATATATATATATATATATATATATATATATATATATATAAAGTATATGTGCAGTTCAATTTACATTACATGAATCGTTCACAAAAAAACAGATATAGAAGTTAATGATATAAATGGCGAGAACTATTATATAGCGATGGAATCATATTTTTAAATAAATAATTATATATATCTATCTATCTATCTATCTATCTATATATATATATATATATATATATATATAATTATTTATTGTTTCGATTCTCCGAGATGATTGTGGACTGCCGATGAGTCTTAAATGTCAATGAATATTTTTGATTTGTTTATTCAGTCCACAATAATTCCTTTCATGTATATATATATATATATATATATATATATATATAGATAGATACACCTAGTGAGCCAGACAAACCTACCTAGGTTTCACCTAAACGGATCGTCAGGGAAAGTTTGAACAATAAGAAAATAAAAAAAGTTTAAAAAATTAAAATCTTTAGACACACTGGGTTGTAGATTAATATTCTTTCGTTTTTTGTTTTTTTATTATTATTATTCCATTTAGATTCCTCGACTAGTTTCGACCGAAATGGCCATCATCGGGAGGAGAAATATTTCTGCTTGCTGCTAGCACTAAACTACAGAAATGAATGTCTTTTGCTGGAGAAAATGAACTTTTGTCTGTAGTTTTCATTAGTTTTTTTTTTTTTTTTTTATCTTTCTAACATGAATCTTTAAACATTCCTTGTGTTGGTCAAACAGTCTCTTTAAGTTGTTATTTGAGATAAGAGATGGGAGGATCTATGCTTCTCTGAATTCTCTGGTCAGTTTGACAGTTTTATTGGACCTGGAGAGGGGACGTGTCTCTGTTAAGTGTTTGTGTGTGTGTTATTTGGTTCTTAGGGAGTGAGTGAGTATGATATGTGTAAGCGTGTGTATTGCTGTATGTGTGTGTTATCATTTTGCTCATTAGGCAGTGAGTGAGTATGATGTGTGTAAGTGTGTATATTCGTGTGGGTGTGTGTATAAGTGTGAGGCCTCCACACCTCTGTAAGCATGTCTGTCTTGTGTGGGTGAGAAATGTGGGTAGGTTTTGATTTGTTGAGTTATATATTGTTACTATTTATATATTGTTAAATTTATGATTTAGCCCGGCTGGGTATTTTGTTTTTAGACGTTGTATCCACTTATTTTCATGGGACTCTAAAATCTTTCTAATGTTATCTGCTCTGAACTTTTCTATTCTCTCAATTATAGTGAATTTGGCATGGGTTTTGAAATCATGTTTTTCCAGGCGGAAATGTTGTTCTACAGGTAATAATTTTTCATGGGGAGTCGACTTAATTTGCTTACGATAATTATTAATTCTGTAGTGAAAGGGCCATTCAGATTTTCCTTACATATTGTTTCTGGCATAGTGTGGTATATATGTGTGTGTGTATTAGTGGTACATATACACATACATATGCAATCATATATCTAAAATATATAAATATATATGCATACATACATGCACATACATACATATTTGTATAAAAAATAGTTCCAAGAGGATATAATCCAGGTAGAACTCAATGTCCAGGACAGAGTAAGGATATAATAAAAAGGCTTAAACATTAACATTCCACGGTCATAATTTATTCCATTGGAATCGTAAATACGATCCAATTCATCAGACCTACAAATATTGAGCGCTTTCTAATAAGTACCGCGCATATAATATATAAATAATTATACATATATATTTATATACACTTTTCACACACACACACACACACACATATATATATATATATATATATATATATATATATATATATATATATATATATATATATATATATATATATATATATATATATATATATATATATAAAATATATACCGTCCAGTGCTTTCTGCATTCTGTGGAGGTTTCTATCAGACTCGATGAATTACTCATATAATTATCAAATCCCAATAATTACTGTTTGTCTTTATCATCGCTTGAACTGGCTTTAACGCTACAGTAGGTAGCGGCTTGGTGAGAGTAGTCGTGGCTCAGGGGGCACAGTCCTATGGTAATAGTGAATCTCAGTCGAGTTCCGCCACGGAATATGTGAGCGAGCGGCGCTTTGTCGAGTCTGGTTTGCAATCTTTCGTCACCGAGGCCCACTTGGAACAGTTGGTATGATGTTCGCTTGAGAACCCAACTGTCAGGGTTTCAATTCTCGGTAGTGGATGCGTATTGCTGATGACTCCCAAATATAGGGACGAAACGGCCGGCCAGTGCTTTCTGCATTCTGTGGAGGTTTCTATCAGACTCGATGAATTACTCTTTTATATATATATATATATTTTAAACCTAGAGAGCCAGACAAACCTGGCTCTCTAGGTTTAACTAGGTGCGCTCTACTTACTGTATTGAGCAATTTATTAGGTTGGTGCAAAAATAATGTCGTTTTTTGACGTACTTTTAACGTCAAAAAACGACATTGTTACGTCATTATTTTTGCACCAACCTAATATTTAGTTGCTTTACGTACTCGTATCGGGTTTTTTTTCTTTAGGCTTTGAACTTGCACGCTGGATGATTATTTTCGGCTAACCTACATGTTCTTGATTCTTTTATACCTTTTTTTCCCCTTTTGTATTGGTTTGATTATTTGCAAATGAAGACACCGATGGTTTTCCGGCCGAGTGTAGTTTCTTATACCTATAGGAGTACTACTAATATATATATATATATATATATATATATATATATATACATACGTATGTATTTATATTGTGGGACTTGAGTAATCATAATTAATTCATCGAGTCTAGAAGAATCCTCAATAGAATGCACGGGACGAACGGTTCGTTCAATTTCTGGAAATCCACTACCAAGAAACGAACTCGGACCGTGACGATATGACGTTAGCTTCATATCCCCTGCACCAATGCGTCTTGGAGAAGGATAGCTAACAAACCAGACGTGTTATAGAGGCAGCTCTTCACAAATTCCGTCGTGTGACTCATCTGACTCTACTTATACCAATGGACTATCCCCAAGCCGCTCCATTCGTTGGTCCAAAGGGTATGACACTTGCGTCACATCGTAACGGTCCGGGCTCGATACTTGGGAGTGGATGCGTACTGTTGATGACTCCCCAAAATAGCGCGAAGCGGCCGTCCAGTGCTTTCTTCATTCTGTTGAGGATTCTTCTAGACTAGATGAATTAATTATGTTTATTCACATACCCTAATATATATATATATATATATATATATATATATATATATATATATCACTGTTTGAACCGGCTTTTATGCTCCAGATGGATGGAAACAGCCAGGGATAGAAGACGACTCATGGTGGCATAGTCCGTAGACTCCGATGAGTTACACGACGGAATTTGGGAAGAGCTGGTGTGATATCGAGTCTGGTTTGTTACCTCTTCGTGACCGACACACTTTGGTCCAATGGGTATGGCGCTTGCGTCATCGTAACAGTCCGGTTCGGTTGTCGCTAGTGGATATATAGGAAAAAACGACATTGCCGTGTTTTCTATATTCTGTTGAAATTCTTCTAGACTCAATTAATATGATACATATATATATATATATATATATATATATATATATATATATAATTATTTATTTAAAATATTTTAAATATTTAAATAAATAATTATATTTTAAATAAATAATTATATTTTAAATAAATAATTTTTATATTTTAAATAAATAATTATATTTATGCTCTACTTTTGTATCGAGCACTATTTTTTAAAATAATAACTAAAATACTAAGGGACTTTTTGGATTATTTACCTAACCAGTTCCTTCCTATTTTCTATATATTTTCACACACACACAAACACACACACACACACACACATATATATATATATATATATGTGTGTGTGTGTGTGTGTGTGTGTATGTGTATACACTAGATGAAAAATATTACGGGCCTCCATGATTTTTGTTTTAAATGAGATATCTTGTATTTTAAAGAGTAAAGATAAAATTTTATTAACTATAGTATAAATTGCTTTTATTTTGGCAATAATAATTGCACAACAGCATCATATTTTCATTTCGTCAACAAAACCCCCACGATGAAGAATATAAAAAATACTGAAAAGGAAAAGAAAGCAAGTGGAAATTTTATCTTCTACTTTTAAAAAATACAAAAATATCTCATGTTAAAGGGAATTGGAAGAAGACCAAGATGAAGAAAAATTCTCAGAATTTTTTCCAGAAGTTTTAAAAGTCTAAAAATAAGAAAAACTTTTTTCTGTAGAATTTTTTTTTTCCGTTTGAGACAGTTACAGAAATAATTTTTGAAAAATCCTCTGTTGTTTTCTTTCATTTAAAAATAGCCTGGCTAAATCGAACTGAAGTGTTATTACTCTCAATAGAACTTAAAAATCATTTTTTAGGTGAAAGGAAACAGTAAAACTCACCATCGCCCCAAGAAAGAATCTACAGTGTTGTTCGATAAAAGTGACTCACCTGATTTTTTTTACTTAAAATTTTTTTCGCCTATTGTTTTTGGGCTCAAACCAATTTTTAATCTCACTAATATAAAGACCCCTTCTCGACCACCGAGTAAAAAAGTTTACTCACCCAAAGGTATTCGATTGATAATTATAATTTTGGATATAAATGAGATTTAGGGAAAAACTCTGTGTAAAAAAAAGTGACTTACTTATTTCCTGCAACTAGTAATCAATAGAAACATAACCGAACAGCTTTAAATAAAGAATAATAGAGGTATAATTTATTTATAATAGGTAATATAGTTCGAAATATTTAATAATCTATGGGTCCTCCTTTATTTTGAATAACCTTTTCAACCCTTTTTGGCATTGACTTGATTAGGTTCTGGCAAATCTCATCTCCAAGCATTGAATTCCCTTCGGATATGAAATTCACAATCAAATCCTCTTTGTTGCTCAACTGCTTTCTCGAGAGCCTGTACTTTATAATGCTCCATAAGTTTTCTATGGGGTTGAGGTCAGGAGATTGGGGCGGCCATGTCATAACACTCACCTGCTTCTCATCAAAGTATTCCTTCATCAATTTTGATTTGTGACAGGGAACATTATCCTGCATAAAAATGAGCTCAGTGGGGTCGATTTGCATCCTTTCAGCAGAAGGGAGAAGACAAGACTCTAAAATTCACTTGTACTGCTCGCTCCTGAGCGTATTTTCAATAGGTTTTAAGAAACTAGTTCCATGAAAAGAAAAGTATCCCCAGACCATTATACTGAACGGATGCTTGGCAGTACTTACTGCTAAATTCAAAGAGCTTTCAAAGCTTCTTCTTCGGATTTTAGATCGCTTATCCTTTGAACTTAGCTTAACTCTTGTTTCATTTGAACTGGGTTTTTTTTAAAAACATAGAATCGGGATACAATGCTCCTCAGTTCTATCATTTGAGTCTGAACATAACACAAGAGAAAAGAAAATATTTACGTCAATTATTTTTCACTGAGCACTCCCCCCCGCCCAAAAAAAATTCCATTCTTTTTCTTTGTTTCTTAACAGTTTCCTGTATTTCGTTGTTCTGATCAAGACTTGATCCGTTCTTTTTTTTTCTTCTATTCCCTATGGGCTTACGACCAAAACAAATTCAAACAGCGGTTTTCGCACGATCACCGAAGTTAAGCAACGTTGAGCCTGGTCATTACCTCGGTTGCTGACCGCTCGGGAAAACTAGCTGCTGTAAGCTTGGATATTCGGTTAGAAATGGCTTAGGGCCACATCACGTTGAAACACCGGTTCTCGTACGATCAACGAAGTTAAACAACGTTGAGCCTGGTCATTACCTCGGTGGCTGATTGCTTGGGAATACCAAATAACCACACGGAAGTGGAAATTGGAGAACCGAGTTCCAATTCTGGTCGGGTTTGTTATATTCACTTACCCTTGCAAATATTATTGGGGAAAGGCATGACTACAACTCTATCTCCCCCAGCTTTAGGTTAATTAGCAGAACGTATATCAGTAAATCATTATTATATAAAAAAAAATCTTTACAATCTAAAAATATATTATGCCTTTAAATAACCTGGAAAAAGATTGATAAGCCGTAAAAAACAAATCTATTCCTTGTGCCGCTTGTTTTTTTTTAATTTAATTTTTCATTTCTTTTCCATACAAATGGCGAATTAAACTATCATTATTAAACTCCATGTGTCACGTTTTTCAGAAAATATTGTCCGAGATTAGAATATATAAAATAATAATAATAATAATAGTCTCGAAAGCCACCCAATCTAGAGCCATTGAATAAAATGTGTATGAAAGTGGAAATTAAGGAGGATAGATAACGATTGCTCCTGGACATGAAGTGGGTGCAGCATTGAGAAATCTATTCCACTGAGTAAGAGTTCTCAGGAAAAAGCAGTTTGAGGGGATCTTCATCCTTACAATTAGAATATATAGGAAATGCGGCTGATTCGACCATACGGACGTAACATGTGAAACTAAATAAATTTATTTACACTAATTTGCATCCCTGGTTGTACTAATATATCGAATAGAGCAATGTTTCAAGATACATACCGCAAGCCAACATTCACCGGAAAATACCTCAAATTCAACTCCTACCATCCATACAATGTAAAGAAATGCATCATCTACTGCCTACAACATGGAGCAAAAGTCATAAATGGCGACCCAGGGTCTTATGAACAAAAATAATGGTCGTTATAAGCTGTGCGATACACCGTAACATACATAACAGGGTAATTTGCTTGTTAGGGAAGTGTATTTTATATTTCTGGCTTTTGGTTGTAGCGAGTCAAACAGAGAAAAATTATAAGTTTAACCCTTTTGGTGAAATCAACTTTTTCCAGAAATTTTGATTGTGAAATCATCTGTTTCTCAAAGGATGTCAACAGTTGCCATTTATTGTGTCTATGATCACCTAAAAGCTTATCAGACGAAAATGTATGGCTGTTATTTTGCATGAAGATAGCCTTGAAGTTTGGCGATATTTAAAGTCTGGATAAGTTAAAGACAAACCAGAAGAAAAGGACCCTTTTTGACGCCTCTTGTTTTCTTACCATTAAAAGATGGTAAAAATTCCCGTATTTGATTGGGTCCTTATATATACAACATTTTGGCGAATGAGGGAGGGAGACAGCCGGGAGAATCGAGAGGAGAGAGACGTCGAAAATTTGCTGATCAGCACACACGCAGTTCACACCTGCCTGAACAAAACTCGATATTCGATTATCTGATAAAAGTTTGAGAATACACACTTTGGTTCGAAGTCGTTACCCCTTCCAGAGGTGTTAGGATATATCAAACTTTTTGTAAATATTCTATCTTTATTGATTAATATTAAAATCAACAGAAGCTAATAAATAAGATAATCAAACAAATAATAACAGATACAAACAAAGGCATCAGTAAGAAAATTTCAGTGATTGCGCAGGTCAGTTGCCAACCTTGTGTGAAAATTTTGTGTGAATTGATTGGACGGTTTTTGAAATATTAGAAAAAGGTTATCTCGATAATAATTTGGCACGCAGTCTAGACGATCGACGCTCTAACTAGCATGTGACCAAGCTGATAACACAGGCATCTCAAGTTGAAGATATCTACGAGAGATAGCGTCCAAATTGTATGGCTGGTACGTCCTTGGGGAATAGGGGGTTATATTATATCCTGGATACATGACAGAAATTCCTACAATGTTCGGTAGAAGGGTACGAATAGATAACACCCAGAGAACAACCTCAGTCTGCCTACCCTATGTGAAGCGATTATCGGAAAAACACAAACGATCTGTGGTCCATGTAACATCATGACGAGGGAAAAAGGAGATAACCGCCCTCAGTGAGATGAAGTTTAATTAATAGACATAGAACCTCACTGAAAAATAGGAAATCTTAAAGAATCGGTGCATATGGTAGGCCACTAAAGTCTCCTAAGTCGGCAAAGCATAGATATGAATACAATATGGTAAGAGCTAGAGAAAAACGAACAATAACAAAAATTGTAATATGAGATCTGGTAAAAAATGAAACTGTGACATTAGTTTTATAAGTCCCCATAATTCATATACTGATGTCTTCAAAAGCACATGGCTCAGTGGATAAAAGTTTTGGTTGAAGTAATCCATTGACATTTTTTTAAGCAGTTCACCCCAAGCGAGGCCGGTGTGCCTCTAGCATGCAAGGGGTTACAGAGTACAACAGTAAAAAGGTGTGTTTGAGGAAAGGATACAGAGAAGGACGGGGAACAGGATCAAGGTATCAGAAGATGCCGATTGACATTACACTTGAATATTTGAAAATTATATTTATCAGGGAAGTAAGTAAGAGGAAGGGAGTTCCACAGACGGTAATTGCGACAGAAGAAGCTGTTTGAGTAGAAGAAACGATTATATTTAACTGTTTCAAGAGTGCAAGGGTGGGACAGAGATGCCAACCTAGTAGCTCGCTTAAATTCATGCACTCCGGGAACCAGCGAAAGCAGCTCGCCCGAACAGTTCGCGTGAAATTACTTGTAGAAGAGACAGAGGGAAGCTACGTCACGTCTGTGAGATAGTGACTGCTGACGGGAAGCCAGATCAGAGCCTATCACATTGAATATCCGTCTCTGGATTTAGTCGAGGACCTTGAGACGTACAGTGGGTGCACCTGATCATATATGACAGCAGTATCACATGCAAGGACGGTTGGCTGATTGAACAGAGTTTGTATCCCAAAGAATAAAAAGGAACTAACTTGGAGATTTCAGTTAAATGTGATGTCGAGAAAAGGCATGGCACATGGAACTAGATCAATCTACCCCCAACCCTGTGCGCTACATAAAGGGTTCGATTCGAAATTCCAATGAATGTCACCTGAAGAATGCCGGAGAATACAACGTCGTGAATATAACAACAAAGATAAGAACAACAGTCCAGACAATGTAACCGTCCTGGGTATGACGATAAACTACATCCGCGTCCAGGGTGAGACGATAAAGTACGTCCAGCAGCAAGGCCTCTGATCAGGAGGTTTTGAGGAGCGTGGGACCACCTCTAAATTGCTGGTGTTCTCAGGTTCACTCTGACCCTGAATAGTAGCACCTGCTAGGGTCCCAGTTATGGGCAAATAGTTTACCCCCAAACTGGGGTCAAAAGACTATGAAAGTGTAAAAATAGATTTTAATACCTGAAATACTTTTTGTAAAAAAAATTATTGCCAGTAATACATTTTGGTAGAACAAATATTACCAAAAATAGATTTATGAAGGAAAAAATATTACCAGCAACAAAGATTTTGTCGGCAGTAAATAACCCATTGAGGTTGATATGTCGAAAAACAAACCAAACCAAACTATCGCTATGAATCTATTTGAAAATTTTGTTGGCAATAAATAACCCATTGAGGTTGATATGCCATAGAAGAAACCAAGCCAAACCGGGCAATGCAAATAATGTAAATATTTAAAATACCTCATCTCATAAATAAAGACAGGTGTTAAAGGTGAATATGGCAGTAAAGATGAGGATAACAGTCCAAACAATGTAAATAGTGTAAATAGTTACAATACCTCATCTCAGAAATATAGACAGACATTGAAGGTGAATATGGCAATAAAGATGAGGACAACAGTCCAAACAATGTAAATAGTGTAAATAGTTACAATACCTCATCTGAGAAATATAGACAGATGTTGAAGGTAAATATGGCAATAAAGATGAAGACAACAGTCCAAACTATGTAAATAGTGTAAATAGTTACAATACCTTGTCTCAGAAATAGAGATAGATGGTGGTGAATATGCCAATGAAGATGAGGACAACAGTCCAAACAATGTAAATAGTGTAAATAGTTACAATACCTCATCTCAGAAATATAGACAGATGTTGAAGGTGAATATGTCAATAAAGATGAGGAGCACAGTCCGAACAATGTAAATAGTGTAAATAGTTACAATACCTCATCTGAGAAATATAAATGCTAAACAATGGTGTTCATCTGACTGCTGTGGAAGTAATGATAGAGTAAGGATAAGGTTTCACCATTACGTCTGTGGGTAAGCGGCTGCCGATAGAAAAATAAGTCTTCTCTCAGTAGACCGTGTCAAAGATTTTGAACACTATCATGGTTGGAAAGTTAAATAAATTGCTAATGTAAGAGAGATAGTTATTTTCTTTATTATTTAGTAGTTTCCATCGTTCAAATTTCTTGGCCACTTACTCGTTGCTTTTTCTATTTAGGTGCCTGTATTATTATCGCTGTTTATTTTGTAGCTGGGAATATCTCGTTTAAAGTTTGCTTTTGGGCGGAAGCACAGCCAGTTCACGACCTTCACGGGTTAGGTTTAGCAAGGAAGCCAAATAGACATATTTATTTCACCCACTAAAATGAAAGTTCAAGAATGTTTTCATTTATCTTAGCAAAGTCGTTTTGATGCTTCGGGCTGTTACATCTTGATTTCGACAGGATTTTCTTTTGCTCGGATAAAAGCGGTATTTAACTGATGATGAAGAAGAATAGAAAACCATTATCAGGAGTCTACGTTCTGCCGGGAAGAAAATGGACAATTTCGATTTATCTGAGGTTTACATATACGCCTCCCAGATGTTTCGGGACTTAGATAAAGAATAAATAAATAAAAAAAAAGTTAAGAGATAGTGTTCACTTTGTAAGAGCCGCTTATCTGGAAGGTAGAAGATACAAACGAATCCTTATGATTCTGAAAGTTGAGTCACCAGTTCTTAGGAATAATGTCAACTTATTCTGTTCACACTAACTACATTGTCTGGACGGTTGTCCTCGTCTTTTTTCCCATATTCACAATGTTTTAAGCTCCAGCCTTCTTCAGATAATTGAAATTTCGAACCGAAC